CCCCCCCACCCCACTCCCTAATGCAAAGAAAGAGAGTCTGTCTGAGAAAGACTGTAGCGAGCCTCTATTTAAAGACGGTACCTCACTGACTGCTAACGGTTTTTGTTAGGGGAGGCGAAAGGTACACATTTCGGTATACATACTTAAGCTTTGGATGTTGTCATTGTCTAGTGAATACTTTTCTTTCTTTACTTCTAATAGCGCCGATCAATATTGTTACTTTTTTTTACCTACTATTTTAATAGCCTCAAGTCGACCCCAACAAATATCATCGTCTGCAATCTTTTGTTTACTGCCACATCCCGCAAAGATCACTCATTGTATTAGCATTTAAGTTTCCTCAGAATGATTTCACTTTATAGCAGAAATGAACCAGGGACCAAGCACAGCCTGTCAACTCCCCGGTTAATTTGCTATTACTCTGCTAGATAAGCATACATTTTTATAACATAATACTGACTCCAAAGTTTGTTCTGTAGAATTATGGAATATTTTTCATAGATTGTATTAGATTGCATACATACAATCTACTTAAGGATTAACAATATCATCGTCGCAGTAACAGATCAGTGGACAATGTCAGGAAGAAGTCTCTAGAGAAGCAACAAGAGTTTAGAACTAGATATAGAACTCGTGATGAACCACAGTCTCTTGAGACTAGGCTCAAATACCAGATACTGCTACAGCTAATTTAACAAATTTTAATAGCGGAAATCTACTTCTACAACTGAGCACCGAGGAAGTTGTAATATTGAAAGAAATTTATAATTTTTCTTGTTTCTATGACTTCCTAGAGTAAAGAAATTATTCCATCTGCATCATTTTCCTCAGACCGTAACGATCTGTCTGCGCCTCCGCACTGTTCACTTGTTTCCAAAAGGCCCTCACAATATCTAGCTTGTCAAGCATCAGTTCACTACCAAATGGCGCAGAGCCGGCCTGTCTATAACCTGGAGAAAATATATTAAGGATGATAACTACCCGGACCTCTTAAGTGATGCTTGCTACTCTGCACGAAGCATGTCTGACTTCGCCTTTCTTAAGATGCTCTGTGAGTCAGTTACGATCACGGCATGAGTGTACAGATGATTCACAAGCCAGCAAAAAGCAGCAGAGACGGCCTCCACCTCCATTCTCAAAATAGACGTTGTAATATCATATGCATGCCTTTGCTGCACTAAGCGACGACCAGTCGCCTTTGCTATGAACATCATGCACTGCGTCTGCACCTCAACAAAGAGCCAGTTGTATAGATGATTATATCACTTGGGCGGCAATTGTCGTGAATCATTTGTTAAACTTCTGATTCTATAGCACCAGCTGGCCAGTCCCTGCACTAACGTCCCAAAGTGATGAGAACCTTCCATAAGTCTAAAACTTGTTTGGACACTTTGTTTCTTCAGCTTGCGTCATCCTTGACCTTCGACTTTTCCGCCTGTGACCCTAAGCTCTGTCCAGGGCTTTCTGGTGTTACTTCTGTTCAGGTACTGTTTATTCATACTGCTCAGTGTTATTGATTCACAGTTTTTATTCAAGTTATGTGTCACACAGCTTCTCTAACAGTGTTGTGTGTCAAACAGCTTCTCTATTCCAATAATATGTCACACAGCTTCTCTAACAGAGTTGTGTGTCACACAGCTTCTCTATTCCAGTTATATGTCACACAGCTTCTCTAACAGAGTTGTGTGTCACACAGCTTCTCTATTCCAGTTATATGTCACTGGGGGGGGGGGGGTGAATATGACAGACACTGTTAGCTGAGAGCTATTTTCTTTATTTTCCATTTTACCATTCTGGGCCACAGCAACGCGTGGCCGGGTACAGCTAGTCATTAAATAAATGTGCAGCGCGCATAGCCACTTCCTTATTAGGCTCCTCAATGTGAGATGCAACAGTTTCCCATGCTTTTTGGCATTTTTTTTAATTCGCCAGAAAATTGTTGCTTTTCTGTTACCTCTTCCTCCTCCGCTGACAAACTTCCCTTTGAAATTTCTTGCTGTGAAACACAATGCAACTCCATAAGCTCTTCGGTGGTCAGCTCTTGGCTGTGCTCTTCCACAAGCTCTTCGATATCACTGTTATCCACCTACAATCCCATGATAGTGGCCAGACACAATCTTGTTGACTACAGGTTCCACAGGTACTGTCTCGAACCCCTGAAAGTCACAAATCGACAACGCTCTCCGGCCAAAGCTTTTTCCAAGAAGAAGTTAGGGTTCTCTTGTTAACCCCTTCTCCCGCCTTGTCGATCGTCTTGAGGCAGGCAACAGTGTGGAAGTGATTTTTTCAAAACTCTTTGAGAGTGAGGTTGGTCCTTTCAGTCACCTGAAAACAATTCTTGAAGAGTGCTTAAATGTAGAGCTTCTTAAACTTATAAATGACTTGCTGGTCCATGGGCTGGAGTAACGGAGTGGTGTTGGGAGGCAGAAACTGGATCTTGAACTTAAATTCTTCAGGGAGGATTCATGTACATGTATCCAAATATAACACAAGTGTGAGAAAATGTGTCATCACAAGCGACACTACGATGCTGCTGGAACAAATGCTAAACACAGACTGATATAACATGCGCACAAACTGAGACTTCCCCTGTCCTCGCCACTCGTTATGCGAAACGTCGCTCGTTAAGCGAGTCATTCTTTTACAATTTGTTTTGCTCGTTATGCGAATTACTCGTTATACGAGGTGCTCGTTAAGCGAGGTTCTACTGTATTCCATTGGAAAGTACACTCACACACACACACACACACATATATATATATAAATGGTAGTTTGCTTTTGAGAAAATAAGAATCAACTTGGACATAATAATAATAATAATAATAATAATAATAATAATAATAATAATAATAATAATAATAATAATAATAATAACAATAAAAATAATTACATGCCCGTCTGCGGATCGGAAGGTCGTGAGTTCGGATCTTGACGAAGCCAGACTTTTTTCAAAAATGACCTTTGCTCTCAGGTCCACTCAGCCTTGAGTCGGTGCCAGGTGAAGTCATGAGAGGTCAAGGCGGCCAGCGTGATGCTGACCACATGACCTGCAAAGAGCCCATGGTCTAGACCTACATGTACAAAGCGCCTGAAGGCGTGGACAATGATCCTTTACTTTAATTGCATGTGCTAAAACTAACTGTTTTTTTATTTTTTTTTTTTTTTTTTTTTGGTTGCACAGTTAACGTGATACAACATGATGGAAAACTCGGTCAACGATTGTAAATCGGAAGTCGGGATTGTTACGTCAATTCCTGGCTAAACTACCGTTCCTCGACAAATTTCCTCACGAGACAAACGTCGTGAAAACTGGTAACCAATGAAATTCGTTGGGTACGGGTCTGCGGGACTACAGTGAAGCAATTACCATAAGTCACTGTTTCTTAATAAGGCTAGAGTTAGTTTGGTTGCTAGTGTTACAATTTGCTACTGTTATCGACAAGAGTTATCTCTCCCGCTCTGCCATTTACAGACTGCTTCTGTCTGCTCGAAGTCGTTTCTAGCACACACAAATTTACGTTTTAGATTTCCATTCTTCTCACCAACTTTCTTCGATACATTTCCATAATTGCATTTTCCTAGTATAGCAACTTCAATATTGATTTGTTATTTTATTCAGTGACAAACGTCTGGCTTATCATCATAGATAGGTAGTTGGAAAATTACTGCTGATTTTATGTCTCAATCCTAATTTTATTCTTGAACACCTTTTGTCACTCAGTGGCGCTTGAAATGTAGTGAATTAGACGCATATACTTTTGTGACAGTTTAACGAGTGACGTGGTTGACATCACGCTGACAGTCTTTACTTCCCAAGACATTCCTAAGCTTTCATATCCGGCTTACTTTATCTTGAAGCTCAGGTGAACTGTAAAATTAGGCCTCATTGTGGATTCAAACCTTTCCGTCGCCAACCAACCGTCTAGCCATTGCCCTATCACATCTTTTTTCTGTTTCTCTGTTCCCCGAAATGGGTGGTTACGTGTTGTTTTGTGATTTACAGTAGGACCAGTAAGAAATCACAGGGAGTTATAGCAGTAATTGTGTACAGTGTGGGAAACATGCGGTTTTAAGAGAGTCACTGACTCAGACACGATGTTTGCCATGCGAGGTTTGCTTAACCGTAGTGGTAAGCATTGATTCTATTCAAAAAGAACAAGTGCATTACCATGTTGTGCAGTTCGCAGCTTTAAATTAGGTCAATTGCACTTCCGGACCCTGTGTCATTATCACTTCTTCTGTTCAATGTCTCTTTTTTTCCCGGGCGTGTTTGTTTCTCTTAAGATACTTGGGCGTGACCGGGCAAGACGGATTTATTTTGTCTGTCATACTGCAAGAATCAGACTACTTGTGTATGTATTCGGTCTTCACTTACTATTGTCAGCGTTCGTTATCTGGTTTAGTTATTACTGCTTCATGTAATATGAATAAAGTTGCCGACCTGGGCACTTCATAACGTTGAGCTAACACAATGTCTAACATTCCTTGAATGTGTGGCATGAAACCTGTATTCTGAATACATAACTTGTTAAATTCTAAACAATACAGGGACTTACAATAAATAAATCTTGGCATCAAACAAAGACTGACGAAATAAACCAACGTAGATCAAACTACGAGGACAGTTACCTAAGTGTAAAGTATATGCACTGTATAGTTTCTAAATCGTCGTTTGAATATTATGAGCTTACTTCTTGATATAAGTTCTTGTACAATCACCGTGGTTTACAAATGAAAAATGAAATTGTTATAGTTTTGTTCTCACAGATATCACGGATATTATGTATAGCTGTCTGTTGTTTGTCTTTCAGAGACAGCGCAAGCACTAAACAGTTTTTATCATTATATGACAATAACTCACACACTGAGCAGCAGCTGTTTAGCAATATAAGTGTATGATCATGCATTTCTGTTCTGTTAAATCTTGAGCTTTACAACTTCATTAAACTCATTCTCGTCTTCATACCATTGTTATTGAGCTGAAAGCTTTCTGCAAACACTTATTCCATTTCTATGTCCATAGTATCGCTGCTACGATGGTGGCTTCTTCTAAAGCATAAAACAACATGTTTGGACACGAACGACTTTCCTCTATGCCAAGGCCGGCGAAGGCATTCACGCAGACTGCGACGAAAGCTTTCTGAGAACAAGCTGTAAAGAACTGGGTTCAGAGCTGAGTTCAAGTACAAACACATAAAAGCCAGTGGCGGAAAAAAACTGAATCCAAAGGTCGCTTCTGGGTAGACATTCCAGTAGAACATAAGTAAACGAATGTGATGAGGAAGAACGCAGACACCAAATGTTAGAAGAACCAGGACTAGTAGTCTTACTACCTTACGACGAGAAGATAACACTCGTTCAGACGTAGATGCCTGGGATTTGTGAATGCCGGCATCGCATGTTGGAGTGTGTGCGACACTTGAATCAGAGGCATAATCTGAATGGAACGAATGACGGGTTGGTCGTAGTTTGATGTTGGGTATAGGTACAGTCTGGTTGATGACACCGTTCTGGCGTTTGGAGTGAGTCTTCTGATAAAGTAGGCACGTAGAAGTCAAGCCATTAGTTTCCACTTGGCTAATGTGATTACCAGAAATGCGACTGGCACAGGTCGTGTTGCGGAAATTTCGAGTAGTAGCGTCTCGACCAGTGTCTTCTCTAGCCGGCCATGACCAGCATACCGGCGGGTTATATTCGTACATGTGGTTGATAGTTTGCCCTGACACAAACATGTCGCTCTTTGTACCAGGAAAGCTAGTGGTGACCGTACCGCCACGACTTGATTTATCTTCGCCATTCAGACGTACTCCATCAGACGTGTCATTAGCATAGTGGATGTAATACCTGTCGTTAACATCACACAGATTCCAGCCAATGCTTCCGTTACCGTGACGACATAAACTACCATCGGATTTCCCACCGTTGTCTTTCATATCGCCTTCGCTGGCACTTCCACTTGCTCCACTGCTGGTAGAAGACATATTTTCTGACAGGCGATTCTCCCTATTGAGGGGCGCCATCTTGATGCTAGAGTAATAGCTGGGGTCATTGCTTCTATGCTGGCTGAAGATGGTCCCCGAGTGCCACAGAGTCCAGGAGATGATGGCGTACGCCACGGACATGGTGACAAGCGGAAGTGTGTACCACAAGATAAAGTTGATTGTGAAGTACAGCTTCAAGTTAATGACGCCTTCTCGGATGTTGCAAAAGACAATTACATCCCCTGTTCCGTTTGACATTTCGAAAGTGTCAAAGATGGCAACCAAAGGAATGTTATACACAGCAGCAAACACCCAGATGGAGATCTGAAACAGAGAAGAGAATATTTTTATTCAAAATAATGATAATTCAAACATAATAGTATTTATGAAGGAAAACGTTATCATTTTTTTAAATCAAACCAGAACATTTAAGAGAAGCAATGATGGTCTTGGCTATAGATTTAGCTCTTTACGCTTTCAGAAATGCAGCATATCTTGCCTGGTCGAGCGACTTAAAACAGCATTTATTCATAAAAGGAGGATTGTCTATATGACGCTGTTCACATAACCATCCATTGCCTATTTGTCTATAAAAGTATTGATTTAGCATCATGTTTCTGATGCATCCGGGCAGTAGCAGGGTCTATTACTTTTGCTAACTGACAAGACACCTTTCTGTAGTAACGTTTGCAACCAACAAGATATCTTTCTGAAGTAACGTTTATTCACCACTAGAACAGGAATTGAAGTGGTATTTCTCTAATACCTTGTCTGTAAAAAGTCTTACTAGTTTTTTTTTTCCCCTCGGGAGGTGTAGTACTAACTGAACAACAAGCAATAACCTCATAAAACAGGCACAACGATTTTTCAGAATTGTCCAGGAAGGAAGTCTGTGGCTTTAGCTCTGCTAATGCGATTGGTAATTCCTAGCTGCCTGGTTAGATCACAGCTGCGGACGATTTGGCTGCAGATTGTCTTGGGTTTGTTTCGACTGTGCAGTAACGATAGCAAACTACTGAGCATAAATTTACCTAGTGAAAAAGGAAATGCTGCGGCCGTTTCTGTGCCGTCCTGTAAAGGATGCGCAGCTACAGTTAATAACTGAAAGGGAAGAGCGATACATAAATAGTAATGTCATCCTACCCTATGTATTGTAGCCAAGGACATGTTAAGGCTTTACACTATCATTTTTACAACCTATGACTGGCCTAGCAAGAGAACAGGGCATTATTTGACTGCTCCAAGAAGTGTCAAGACCTATTATGAAACTAGATAAACGGAACACCATACGTTAAAAGATAAAAATACAAAAGCTGAGAGAAATCAAAGGCGAGATAAAACAAAATGTGACAAGGATGTTTAAGAAAAGAAAAATGAACATTGGTACAACCGAAATTTTGAAGAGACTTAATTAAATTTGTGAAATTTTGGGCCACATTCAAATAGACGACACCCTTTTAAAAGCCATAATGGAGAGAAGAGTCGAAAGCAAGAGATAGACAACGATACAAGTGGCAGGAAAGCTTCAAATGATGGACGAATAGCAGTCTGATTGTTCTACCAGACAAGAGAGAGAGAGAGAGAGAGAGAGAGAGAGAGAGAGAGAGAGAGAGAGAGAGAGAGAGTGTGTGTGTATGTGTGTGTGTGTGAGTGATCTATTGCATACAACGTTTATTTAGAGACAACACTTGACTGATTGACTGATTGAATTATTCTTGTCGTCTTCTTCTTTGGCAAAGACATTAGTCGACACATGTGGTTGTATCGTGTTTTCATTTTATCCTCTACTAGTTGAGCATACTTGCACTACTTTGAATTGATTTAAAACTTATTTTTGTTTTACCCAGCAAAATCTTGTTTGTCTAGAAATATATATTACGTATATAATGAGTCTCCTTTGTTTGTTTGGAACATTATTCTTTTTATTTTCATCCATAATACACAGATTAAAAAGATAAATATAAAAAATAATAAAAAACAGTCGCAAAAAAAGGGATGTCAAATGAAATTCTACAGCAATGTTCGAGAGGATAAAGATAATTAATGATAAAAAATAATATTTATGAAGAAATAGTGAACCAATGCAAGGACGCTAATGAAACCTGGCTGAATCAAAGGTTGTAAAAAATAAATCACGAGAAAGACTCAGATTCCATGCAACAACAGATAGACATGTTAACAGGGAAGACGACGTGTAACATCACTGGGTGTTTACAATCGAGGAAAGGTGAAATATTAATGAGGAAAAATGACATCATTAAAAGATGGATAGGGGACTTCGGGGATCTGTATGCTGATAATAGACCAGAAGTATATTTGCAGGTCAACAGTGAAAGCCCAATTATACTTTGCTGCAGAAGTTGATGCATTCATCACACGAAGAAATGAAAGGCACCTATTCCAGACAACATCACATTGGAAGAAACAAGCTTTAGGATATCTTGGATCTGAAATGAAAAACGAAATTGTTAAATAGCATTGATAAAAGTGGGTACGTCCCTAAAGACCTATTCAAATCAGTATGTATTCTCTGCCCAAGAAACCATTCACTTTAAATTGTGAAAACTGCGCCATATGTTCTATGAGTCATGTGACAAAAATGTTAATAAGAATATTAATGAGAAGAATAGGAAACAAAATTAAACCAGGAAAAGGAACCAACAATGTCATATACATCCTCTGAAAGAGCTATAGACGTACACACAAAAAAACGACAAGAATATTTACTATCATTGTTTTTACTGTACAGTGAATATATATATATATATATATATATATATATATATATATATATATATATATATATATATATATATATGTATATATATATATGTATATATATATATATATATATATATATATATATATATATATATATATATATATATATATAATGAGAACTATCTTCGATTAGTCAGGAATTGTGTTTGGTGGTCACAGCATAGACAACCTGCGTTATGCTGATGAAACTGATCTGATAACGACAAAGCAAAAAGAGCCACAAGAATGGATAGATAAGTTGATGATAGAAAGTGATAAAATGGACCTCAGTTTGAATAACAGAAAGACAGAAGTAATAGGGGTTTCCCAGAAAATAATACTGCCTAAATGTATAATAAAAGTCAAAGGTGTTGTTTTGGGACAAGTAGAGACGTTTAAGTATGAAGTTTTTAGACCGTATAAAATGAACAGCCAGTCAGTCAGTAGCATGTCCTTTGCAGCACCTTGCTTCCATAACAACACTCCACAAAACTACTCGATCACAAGCAAGATGCCCCTCGTCCGATACACCCTCTCGGAAATTATCGGCCACAGCCTGCACCCATCTTCTCGTTGGCCTTCCTCTTTCTCTCTTCCCAGGCATATACCCCTCTATTTTTGTTCTATCCAAGCTTTTGTGGTTTCAAGTGACCAGAATATTTCAATTTGCTGTGTTTTATCGTCTTTATTAGCCAGCCGTCTTTAATATTCAGTTCTTGAAGTATGGATGCATTTGTTCTTTTCTTTACACATGGTATTCTTATAACCCGTCTTAATCATTTGTATTCTAAGGCATTTATGCGCCAATCACCTTGTTTAGTAAGTTTTTAGGTTTCACAGGCAATGAGAAAGATGTCTCCTCTTATAAATTTAATTTTGGTATATCTGTCTGTCCCACTCTATAGTTTATTTATTTGTTTAAGTCTGTGAAGAGCAAAGACGTCGTTTAATTTCTTTCATTGTTGTCACCATTGTTTGAAATCAATGACCCAAGTTATTCAAAAACCCAAGAAAAATAATATGGAATCTTTACCTACTATACTACTATGTCGTTTCTATTCACAGCCATCTGTCTCTTCTAATCAACTCTGAGACAGATGATCATCTATGCCAGGATGTAAAACTGTCTAGCATCTGTTCTCTCGGTCTTACTTTGCTTCTCCTTCCCTCCATCTTTCCAACCGTCACAACGTACTCCAGTTTTCTTCTTCTCATCACATGACTAAATAATGTAGATTGTCTCTTTCTGATGTTAGCAATCAGTTCTCTTCTTGAGTCAGTTTCTTTCATGACATCTTTATTACTCTTTTTATCTGTCTAAGGTATTTTTATCTTTCGTCTGCAAAACCACATCTCCGCGGCTTCAGTCAAGTTTTCACTAAATTACTAACCGACCATGATTCATATCCGTATATCAATAAACGTTTTATATAACTTATATAGCCATATCAGAAAAATCAAAACCGTAATTTGTTTGCAAGTTTTGTAAAGAGGAAGAACAAATGGACAACATCTAAAAAAGAAAACAAATCCAGAGGTGGACCAAAGGGGTGGATACTGGGCAGTTTAATGGTCATATTTTACATCAGAAATGATTGAGAGTTAAAAGGTAATTGCGTGTCTTTTACAGGATGTTGAATAACCATCCCTAGTACTTCGTTGATGTTGCTATTTGTGATTTTGTAGACAATTTTACCTTCGGTAGTCTGCCACTGTTTTCTAAAAGTCTGCTTCGGAATACCATTTTAAAAACTTAAGTAATGTGGTCTGGAGCCAAACTGCCCGCATCTGGATCGAGCTGACAATTTAATTAGGCTGCGCGTTCACAACGCCTATGCCACAGACGCCGTCAGTTGGCAGTATACGAGCCAATTACCAGTGAGCAGACCTGGCGATTAACGCCATCTGTACTTTAAAACAAAACATTTGTCAGAGATTAGAAACAAAATAAGTGAGAATTAGTTTCTATGGCTGGCTTCATCGCATGAATTAACATAGCGTCGTGGGTTCCAAAGGAAAGTTTTATTTTTTCTCTTTTTTTTTCAATTGACCTTGGTTCCGAGGTCCCATGTAATATCCTGAGAAGTAAAGGAAGTAGGCCTGGTGTTGATTACATCACCCATCTAGACCGATTACTTTATACAAAAATCAGTTCCTTTCTGCTTTACTTTAGCATTGAATCAGGCAAGAATGAATTGCAACACAAAGCACTTCACGAATAGCTGCCCCAACCTAGATCTTTGTGGCAGCCATGTGGGTGTTGAAGTCTCAGGCAGATGCACCCCGACTTTAAAGGAGGCTCCCAATTAGTCGACTTTTACGACATGCTTTTGGGTAGGCAGTGGGTCTCTTCTTCTTTTCCCTACAATGGGCCCCGGAACCCACACGGAAAAGATGTGGAAATGATTGGTTACAATCAACTCAGTACTCCACAAGACATAGAGAGGATCCCCTTTTCTCAACAGTTTGAGAATTACAAATGGGGGAGGGGGCCAGGGAAGGGGGGAGGGAGAAAAGGGAGGAGTGCGGGGATGGGAGAACATTTCAAAAATCAATATCTATGC